TCATGTTTATTTTCCCTTTTTTTGTTACATCCTCTTTTGGATTCTTCCAGAAACATTTATTTTATTTAGAATTGTAATCATTTACTTGAATAAATTGTTTTTTCTGTATTTAAATTATACTAAGTTAGAAATTGTTTATTTAAATTTCAACTTTGCAGTATCCAATGTCAAATTTGAATCATTTATTGATTATATGCCACTACAATAAAGAAAAACAGTAGTCAGTTTGGGCTGTATAGCGGCCTCATTTTTGAATTATTTGAATGAATAACTCAGATAATGAGTTTCATTCATTCCATTTTTATTCTACTTTGATATGGATAAAAATTCACTCTATGGATCTACCAGCACCACCTTAAATAAATCAAATAAACACATTTGATAAGCTAATTCAAATAATCTAAGTTCACATATTTTCTAAGTCCCTGCATATATTCATATACGACATTATTCCAAGTCTTAATATCATGGTTATGCAAGAAGTGTAACCTGAAATTCACAAAAGATACTGATTATATTGCGCATAGAAATAAACACAAAACCTACAAGGTAATAAAGTTAAAAAACTGAAATGGTTTCAAAATGTTTTAAAGCTTATAACTCATTCATTTACTCTTTTCTTTACTTATTTGACCAAGGAAAGGGAAAGGGAAAGAAGACCAAGCTTGTTAACTAACTTCGTTTTGCCATCTGCACCCATATATATATACACATAAATAAAATTCAAATAATTTAAGAATAATAGTAAATGACAATTTTATCTATTAATAAAATTAAATGCTTTTATAAATGTGTTTTTCTAATTAACCTAAATAGATATTTACAAACGTAAATAATATTAATCATCTGATTAATGAAAACCATTCTTAAAGCTAAATTAGCAAATTTCATATTAAAAAGGAAGAAGATAAACTATAATTTATTTTAGATTTGGAAATTATTACTTTTTTACTATAAAGATAATTTATAATATTTGAGAAAAATAATATAATGGAAGGAAAATGATTTTATCTAAAGCCAAACCTTTTAGTAAAGGACAAAAAAATTTAGTCTAACATTTTATCAATTACCAATTTTCCTTTCATCATACTTGACCAATTAATCTATTTATATAATATAAAAGGAAAAGGGTCAAATATGCCCCTAAACTATTCGAAAAGGTCTATATATACCCTCCGTTTAAAGTTTGGCTCACTCGTGCCCTCACCGTCCAACTTTTCGTCTAAATATGCCCTTATGGGCGTTAAATGCCAAATGGAATTGTCATGTCATTTTTACATTACCACGTGACATTTATATTAAAGGAAAAAGGATCAAATATACCCCTAAACTATTCGAAAAGGATCAAATATACCCCTAAACTATGGTCAAATATGCCCCTAAACTATTCGAAAAGGTCTAGATATCCCCCCTTTTAAATAAACTACCCGACCCGTTTTCAATAAAAAAAATTCGGTAAATCCCAAAAATGAGTAATTGACTAATGAAAAATAGGAAAAATATGAAAATATAACCTAAAAATTCAGCATAAAGTCATTTTCATATTTTTTATAATCAATTACTCATTTTCAGGATTTATACGAAAAAAATAAAAATTTAAAAAATTTGTTGAAATTGTTGAATTTAAGGTTACTATATTTATTTGTGAATTTTTTGGCGTTAATTTTTTATTTTATTTTCATATTTTTCCTATTTTTCATTAGTCAATTACTCATTTTCGGGATTTACCGAAAATAATTGTTGAAAACGGGTCGGGTAGTTTATATAAAAGGGGGTATAACTAGACCTTTTCGAATAGTTTAGGGGTATATTTGACCCTTTTCCCTTTAATATAAATGCCACGTGGTAATGTAAAAATGACGTGGCAATTTCATTTGGCATTTAACACCCATAAGGGCATATCTAGACGAAAAGTTGGACGGCAAGGGCACGAGTGAACCAAACTTTAAACGGGGGGTATATCTAGACCTTTTCGAATAGTTTAGGGGCATATTTGACCCTTTTCCCTAATACAAATAGACTATCGTCAAAAATCGGAAAAGTGCAAACCAACTTTTTTTTACTTATCAACTAATGTTTAGAGGTTATTTTGAGTTGATCGAGACTGGATAGTCAATGTACACTTTATGTAGAGTTAATGTATACATCACATATAGTTAAGCTATATTAGGCTTTCTGAGTATATCACAATGTATAACACATGTATATGTAGGCTATATTGCATTATCAATGTATACTTTCTATGACTTTTGGCAAGCTATAGTTTATAGCCATGGCATACTTCCTATAAATTTTTAAAACTATTTTTTATGTAAATAAAACATAACTATATCTATTGTAAATTAATTAATATTGAGAAAATTACGTAATTAGACAAACATGTAATATGCATTTACAATACACCACTATAGTTTGAAATAATTACAATTTGTAGTTATAGTTTGAATTTTATTGCTATTTTCTCTCTCCTCTCTTCCTCTGTTCCCTCTCTCTAGAATCTCGCTCGCCTCTCTCCTTTTTGTCAGTCATTTCTCCCTCGCATCTCTCCTCTCCTTGCCCAGTCTCTCTCTCGCTTCTTTCTACCTCCTCTCTCTCAACACAAATACGAATCATAACAATCACTTATACAAATACAAATACAAATGTTAACAATCGTTTATACAAACATAAATGATAACGATCAAGTACACAAATACAAATTATAAATGTCAACTATAGAGATCTCTTTAGTGATACAAATGCAAATACACATGTATGCGTTGATAGAAATAATGACAATCAATTATACATGTACAAATACAAATGTTAAACTCGATATAATTGTATTCAGATACAAATTGTATTTGTTAATACAATTGATAACAATCAATTATACAAATACAAATGTTAAACTCGATATAATTGTATTCAGATACAAATTGTATTTGTTAATACAATTGATAACAATCAATTATACAAATACAAATGTTGAACTTGAAACAACATGTATTCCTTGATAAATTGTATTCGTCAATATTATTGAATTCATTGATACATTGAATACTAATTACACACATATATACTAGTTACATATATACAATTATCTACGAGCTATATAAATACAATTCGTCTCTCTCCACGCTCTGCCTTCTCTCCTCCCTCTAACATATAGCTACAAATCGCAATTAACAAACTATAATTATTTTTGTCTAATTATATTCCAAGTCCTAGCTATTTTTTAGAAGTGCCCCATTAATATTTGAAACTAGCCAAAAAAAAGAAGTAATGTATGGGCTATTCACAGCCCAAATGGATGTGAATAGATGCTTCCTTTGTTATTATTCAGAGAGTGGAACATATATGAGCTATTTACCGCCCAAATGGTGGAGACCCAAATCGTGATGCATAAATCTGGAAATTACATTTTGGTGTATCTCAAAGTGTTTGATTTGAAAACTTTTGTCTTCAATAATCAATTATATATTTATTTTTTTATTCTTGCAATAACGCATATTAAGTGCATACTCATAGGAAAATCTTAGTAACTTAGTTGATTGACTACCTGGACTCTTACATTGTTGATGAAGATTTGATTCCCATAATTTGAAACAAAAAAGAAGAAGAGATAAATATAAAAAAAAAATGGCTTTTGAGATATGCCATGTCATCGGGCAAAAGTCTCTTATTTCTTTTTAGGGGAAATTATGCGAATAAGTAAACATATACTAGTTAATTAGCTAACATAGCTTTAGTTTCCATTTATTACCACTCACAGCTTAATTTTAGCTATAATTATGTTGTCTCTCTCGTCTCTCTCCTTTTTATACATATACAAATACAAATTATACATATACATATACAATTATATGACAAATAAACAAATACAATTAGCCTCTCTCCTACCTCTCCCAGTCTCGCTCGCCTCTCTCCTCCCTCTCTCAATCTCGCTCGCCTCTCTCCTCCCTCTCTCAATCTCGCTCGCCTCTCTCCTCCCTCTCTCAATCTCGCTCGCCTCTCTCCTCCCTCTCTCAATCTCGCTCGCCTCTCTCCTCCCTCTCTCAATCTCGCTCGCCTCTCTCCTCCCTCTCTCAATCTCGCTCGCCTCTCTCCTCCCTCTCTCAATCTCGCTCGCCTCTCTCCTCCCTCTCTCAATCTCGCTCGCCTCTCTCCTCCCTCTCTCAATCTCGCTCGCCTCTCTCCTCCCTCTCTCAATCTCGCTCGCCTCTCTCCTCCCTCTCTCAATCTCGCTCGCCTCTCTCCTCCCTCTCTCAATCTCGCTCGCCTCTCTCCTCCCTCTCTCAATCTCGCTCGCCTCTCTCCTCCCTCTCTCAATCTCGCTCGCCTCTCTCCTCCCTCTCTCAATCTCGCTCGCCTCTCTCCTCCCTCTCTCAATCTCGCTCGCCTCTCTCCTCCCTCTCTCAATCTCGCTCGCCTCTCTCCTCCCTCTCTCAATCTCGCTCGCCTCTCTCCTCCCTCTCTCAATCTCGCTCGCCTCTCTCCTCCCTCTCTCAATCTCGCTCGTCATATATAAATATACATATGTATACCAGTTACATATATACAATTATCTGACAGATATACGTATGCAATTCACATCTCTCCATTCTCTGTCGTCTCTCACTCTCCTCTCCCACTCTCCCAATCTCGCTCGCTTCTCTCTCCTCCCTCCCCCAATCTCACTCGCCAGATATACAAATACATACATATATGATAGATAAACATATTATTTCAAACATTTGTCCTTCTCTTCAAATCTTTCCGTAGTGATTTTCTAGCCTTCTTTTTATATACTAGTGTGCAGTAGACATGTTTGTAGAGTTTTCGAGTTTTTTCAATAGTGTCTTTTTTTATGGTCTTCTAGGTATGCTTAAAGAAGTAGGCATTAAACCCATCTATACCTCGGGCTTTGTCATTCTTAATGGATTGCAATCCTACATAAATCTCCTATTTGGTTATATCAGCACATAACTTGATCCTTTGATATTTTGTCAACATGGGTCCTCTTTTCATTACCTGGACATCTATAGCTGGTAGTGTAGTTGCTGAGGTCCCCATAAGACCTTCTTCATGTTATCCTTTTCATAATCCTGCTTCCATATACTCTCCACTAAGCCCATGAAAGAATCATGTTCAGTCCACACATTGAAGAACTTGAATTTCACCTCTACACAGTGCTGATTTGTTTGCAATTTGAGTTGCATTGGAAAGTGATCTGATATACCTGTGTTCCCAATCTCAGTAATAACATATCCCCATTATTCCATCCATTCATAATTTCCAAATACTATTTCACTACTTTATTATTGAATGAAAAGTATAATCTTGCATACGGTCTCATGAAATCAGTAAGATGAATTTATATAGATGAAAATTGAGGAGTATTAGAAAAAATCATAAAGTTTTAAATTAAATATTTAGAAGTTATGAATATGAAAAAAGTAACAATTAAATAAGTAATTCAATATGGGTTACGAAAATGAGTATTTAAAGCAAATAAAAAAATAATTAAAAAGAAAAATAGTGCAAATAATATTTAAATCGAAAAAAGAACATACCTAATAATTTTGGAGGTTTGTACAAATGTTTATTTCAACGTGAAGGTTATGTGCATTCCCATTTATAAGTTTTTTTTTTTTGTTTAATATAGAATTTTTATCATAATAAATAGGAAAATTCAAGAACTCCTAATAACGGAAGAAAACCAAAAGACCAGAAGCTTTGAAACGTAGGAGGTATGTTAATTGTTAAATAAATATTAATTATTAATTTTGATAAGGAGTAATTTTGTAATAAAAATAATTTGCAGTAGAGTATAATTTTACTTTTAGATATAGGTAATTCAACTTATAAAGGGTATTTTTGTAATTCAACTTTCAACTATGGAAAGTCATGACCTTTTCAAGAAGTCACAACTCTTTGGAAAAGTCACAACTTATTTTGAAAAAGTCACAACTCTTTGAAAAATTCACAACTCATCGAAAAATCACAACCCTTCAAAAAAAGTCACAACTTATCGAAAAAGTCACAACCTAAGTTAGGGATATTATAGTAATTTAACATTTAAGTTAGGAGTTTATGCTTTTAAAGATATATATATATATCTTTTCTTTATCCCAATAAGAAATAATAAACAAAAAATGATTTATTCTGAATAAAAATTGTTAGAAATTATATAATTAAAATTTCACAAACTACGTTCTCGCCTAAAATTTATATAAAACACAAAATGCTAATCTACTAAATAAAAAATTAAGAAATAGGATCATACATGATATTTTTGTTACGATTTTTTTTTTGAGTGCACAATAAAATATGCAAAGACACAGCATGGAGAATAACATAATCCAAAAACAAACAACAATATATAGAGAGAAAATTAGGAGAGGAATGAATTGACACTATAACAATAATATTCATGAAAACAATTACGAACCTTATATAGGGCCAATAAGCGAATTACAAATCAAATATTTGAAACATTGAGAGAAATTCATATCTAAAATTTGAGACTATTTAAAAATGATTTGAGTTAATCGAGATTAAATAGTCAGTGTTTTCTTTTATTGAAGTTATATGGAAGCTTGTCGAGGTCAATGTGAGACATTTTTTTTATACTAAAGTTATTATATTGGCAAAAACGAATTCAAATATTTCGTTGTTAAAGATGTGGCCCTAGCAAAGTCAAACTTCAGACACATAATGTTGTTAACTATGCATCAATCAAGAAAAAAAAGTAAGAACCAGAATGATATTGAAGAGTGTATTACTCAGCAAACGAAATCAATGGGATATCAAGATAACTGTTAAATTATGTCTTAGGCCTAACTCACACCCTAAAAGCTAGCTCGAAGGGAGGAAGATTGCCCAAGCCTTATAAGGAATCCAAAATAAAACAATCGTCCCTTCTTGGGATCTCTCTTTTCTTCATGGACAACATTATTGCTTTGCATACATGGACAAGATTTTTTTTTTCTGAGAAATTTTTTCCCGGAGCACTTACACTAGATATTACGAGTATTTAAAAGATTGAAAGTTGGTTCAAGTGTTGGTCAATCTTTTGAGGTATATTATTTCAAAATATAGGTCTTTTTTTTTTAGGTTACAATGATTTGTTCTTACTTCTTATCATCGAATATCTTATAGTTTTCTCCCTTAAATGTATACTTTTTCTCGCTATTTTGTTGACTCCTTAAGTTTTATCGCTATTTTGTTCTCTCCTTGTTTCAATTTAACATATACATATATGCATGTGAGCATATGATAATTATAAAGTTTAAAGCTTTCTTGAACTCCCCCCTCTTGTTATGCCAAAATTAAACAACTCCAACCGTGTAATTTTACTAAATTTTAGTTCGAAGTAGATTTAAGTTAGCAAATTCAAAAAGTATACACATATGCTTTTATTAAGACAAAATTGCTAACTAATTGAAAAAATAAACACCAACAAAAAGGGAACAATACAATTAATCATTCTCTGATTTGATCCAAATACATGATGTTGGGCGAACCAAGTTGAAAATATTTGGACTTGGATAAGCTTTAATGCTCAAGTAATCAAAAGAGTAATATTTGTGATTGGCCAAACAATAGAAAACTCCCTTGTTGTTATGAAACATTGAAAAATATATCTTGTTTCCTAGCCCCTGTGCAACACATGTTTTCAAGCACGATCCTGCCGAGCTCACAAACAGTGTTTTATTATTATCTAAACTTGTTATTTTTTCCCTCTCCAACACTTCTCCATTCATTTTGTATCTCCAAACCTCTACTTTCCCTTCATGGTGAGATAGAAATACAACTAACATTCCTTCGTTGTCGACATCTTCTACCGTGTAAGCATATTGGATTGAATTTTGTTTTCTACGTGGAAAGGGTTTCCCATAAAATTTCCAACTAGGGATTGAGTTTTCATTGATGGTCAGTAATCCTAAATTTCCTTTATCTCCCAGTACATAGACAATATTATTTTTGAAAAATATTGGACTATTGCATCCCGTTAAATGAAAACATTTATATCTATCTGCTGGATCGTTTAAGTTATGATACGTCCAATTAGTCTCTCCAACTTTGATGATGTATACATCTGGGGGATTACCAAGGTAATCAAAACCAACAACAAAACAAGCAGACGACGAGTCTGGAGGACACGAAAATGTCCAAGAAGGGCAAATATTTTCATACTCTTGTAGATCAGGAAGTTCAATTATGTCATTGCTAATAGGATTGAAAAAAAACATGCCGCGGCTGCCATTACTTATGAGTAACCAATTACCTTTTGAACTTCGAATTCGGGAATCCATTAATTTCGGGATTGGGATAGACGTAGTCGTCATGACATTGTACACGGGATGAAAGAATTCAACAATTCCGGTATCTCCACGGAATGTGATCAAACAAGGCGATTTTTCTGGCTGAGCAGGACAATGTGGAGGGGTCACGGGTGCGTAACGCCATCTTTTACAAACGGCACGAAAAATAAAATATTCTGCGGCAACAAGACGTGATGATATTAATCCGAGTATGTCTGATGGAATACAATCTGACCACAATGCATTCTCCATTATTCAAAAAGAATGGTTATTATGGACCGTGTTATAAGATCTCCTGTGTTATATCCTATTTATAAACTAGAATAAGATTTGGGAAAATAAGTTAATTACTTGCCAACTCCTTTTCCTTAACGTCTTTGAACTCATTATTATTATTATTCTTTTTTTTTATTTATGTCAAGAGTGAAAATTTATTTTTGGAAAAATCAACGGAAAGAGTACTTTAAATACAACTATAAATGACAAAGTTTTTATTTATAGATCCCAATTACATTTTCTAGAAAGTAAAGGAAAACAAATTTCATTATCCTAGACCTATTCTAACCCCTTTTCCTTGTAGTATTTGAACTCATTTAATCATATTATTATAGGAGTATTTAATTTAAAGTTGATTCTTTTAATTTAGCCACACGTTACATTAATATTGTTTTTAGAACCTGAAAAACAAAACAGTTTTGACCTCATTTTTCTGCGTAACAACACCCTTGGCTTGTTGCTTGTTATTTGTCAAGCAAACTTTTTTAGTGTTTCAGATAATTGATACTGATATTATATGAGACGGATTTTTTTTAAAGCAAATTTAGTGGCTTTTTATTAATAATAAACATACAAAAAATTCTCAATAGGAATAAGTACAAGCAAGGGAGGCTGGATCTTACCTTACCAATCCTAATGAGATACCTATCCTCTATTAATTAACAACTATGAGGAAAATACAAGGTAAAGAGAACTAGATATTCTATGTTCATCACAAAGTTTACAATACACTCTGTGATGATATTACAAGTGAGGATTCTTAAGTAAAAAAATTTCATAAAAGCAAGGAGAAAGTTGAGTTATCAACCTCAAACTTCCTTTTAAAAATGTATGAACTAAAAAGGATAGATTGGTCTTCTAAAGGAACTTGAAGTATGTTTCTCTTGTCCTCTTCTTCAAATTTGTCCAATAACACTTGATAGTTCATCACTTGTTGGCTTTAATGGATCTTGTTGAAGTTGTTGACACTGTCATATGATTCTGTTTTGCCAGTCGCATTGGTAGGTGCCTTGGAACAAACTCCTCAGTCAGTTTACCATCCCAACTATGCTTTCTTCCATGCTTCATTTTTTTGTTGCCTAGGAGAAATAACAACATTCCTAGCTGCATTTGAAAAACAATAATCTAACATTTCCTCTTCCTCACCTTCCTCAGAGATGTCCTCATCATCTAGGTTAAAAAATTTATTTGGGGACAAAGTACTACTACCACCAACTTGTAGTTGTTTGTTAGTGTTAATAGGTGTAAGAGAAGCCAATTTTTCAATATTAGAACTCACCAAATGATCACTTAAGATTGCAACAATAGTTGTTGATGATGACAAACCTTGTCGGGGAATTACTAACTAGGCACAAAAGCAGGAGTTGTTGGACTCAATTTCTTTTGCATAGGAGGGGAAATGCCTTGTTCTTCCTCTTCATCTGCCTCGGAGTACTTGTCGCACCCTGCTGTTGTTCCTAGAAATAACTAATTAATTTGTAGAGTTAACTTCATATGACTGAATTCGTAAGAGCATCAAAAGTGTTAAAACACAAGACCTCCTTTGGAACATTTCTCGAGCATCTAAATTCATAGTTTGACTATCTATAACCGGTTGCAATGTGTTAAGAATAGGCGAACCAATTTCAATACTTGGAGATTTTTTCTTCGTCACCACAACACAATTAGATTCATGTACCAATTCCACTCTTTTACCTGTACGCTTGGCAATCATCAAGGCAATTGAATTAATTCCGACATCACTTTCAATTTTTTATTGGCATTGTCAACCTGCTGCGACATGTTGTCAACCAAGTATTCAACACCCCGAGCATCATGTTTCACTCCATCTGCCACTACCTTCGCATTCGCGGGATCTAATGCTAACTCAATGGTTGCGTTAATTACCAGTGGATGTCCTGATTTTCCAATAAGCACCACATCACCTCTGGTTCCGTTTCGTTGTTGCATGCCCATCATCTATCGTCGACGCCACAATTGTAGCTTACATTATTTTGGCCCTCATCATCAATGTGAACTAGAGTGAGATTTGTAGTCAAAGAAAGTTGATTCTCATTCAAATTTTTCTCCAATGTTTCAGTAGCTCCAACTTTGTTTTTGTTTTTATTTTAAAATTTAAGCCATCACCAGGGTTGTAAGTCCTTAGTGTGTGTGGGGAGGGGGGGTTAGGCTTGACCCCGATCTACCATGTCTATTCATCCAAAAAGGTACAAAGTTAGAGGGGAACATGAACCAAACCTCCAACAAGAAATCAACTACACAAAAAATTTCCGAAGAAATAAAGAAAGGATTAGCCTATACAATATCCTTTCCTATAAACAAAAAACTTTTTAGCTAACAAAAAAGTTGCATTTCTCATATCTTCTTCTTATGGACGGAAATTGCCATTTATCCCGTTGAATTAAGCCTTTAACCTCTTTGGAAAATTGACTATGAGAGGAGTAAAAGGTTTTGTTTCCATTATAAGAGGATGCCAATTTAACAAGAAAGTTGGCTACTTGATTCGCCTAGTGACGGAAGTTCCATGGTTGAATTGAATTATATCAGGCATAAGCGTCTTTAGTTTCATGTTGGTAGTGTCTCCGTTGATAAGCATGTTTGCCACCACCAAAGAGTCCATCTCCATGTTATAATTGTCCAGGCCATTATCTTTGCACAGTTGAGCACCAAATTTTAATTGCAGCAATTGCTTCTGCTTGGTTACTACTAGTACTATGAATCTTTCAAGAAAATGCCATAATAAAGTCACCATGACTATCTCTAATTATTTCACCTCTACCAGCAATTCTTACACATTTACCATGCCCTTGTAAAGATATCTCAGACAGTGGCGGAGCCAGAAATTTCAGCAAGGGTGTTCAAGAATTTTTCTTTTTAATAAGTGAGTTGAATGTTATTTGTTTAACCTAGGGATTCTACCCGGAACGATCTCAACATTTGTCAATATCAAATATAAACAATCGAGTTTTTTAATTTCTTTCTTTTTGATGCATTGATTTTATATGATAAAAATATATGATTATTGTTTTTAAAGTGAAATATTGATAGAACAAATGCGTCAAGCTTTACGAAACATAAATCACACCAGTAGAAAAAAAAAATTCTTAAAAAAAGAAGATAAAACGCATGTATTGATTATAGCTTTTGGGTTTAAAGTTGTTAACATATATAAACACAAACTTTTTAAGGTAAAATGTTGGCTTTTTTGTTTTCACCATTCAAAAGTGCATTATATCCTAGATAAAAATTAGAAATACATGATATCTGAATATTCAAAATTATAATAATGTATTCATATATGTAAGAAACTTGAGGAACATAATAATGGTGTGTGAGGTTGTGTTCTGCTCTGTTGTGCTCTCAAAATAAAAACAAAATAATTAAGAAACTTGAGGAACATAATAATGGTGTGTGCAGGGGCGGACCCACGTGGTATCCAGGGTACACCCGAACCCCCTCGGCAAACAATTACACGGTATATATAAGGTAAATTTTATGTATTTCTGTAGATATATAAATTTTGAACCCCCTCAATAACAAAGAGAAATTAATGGCGCAGTGGCAAGTACCCTTGAAATTAAGCTGTATGTTCAAATCCCAGTGAAAGCATTTTATTTTTTTCTTATTCATTTCAGTTATTTTATTTTCAGTTCTAAAATTCTGGGTCCGCCACTGGGTGTGTGAGGTTCTGTTGTGCTCTCAAAATAAAAACAAAAATGTTAAGAAACTTGAGGAACATAATAATGGTGTGTGAGGTTGTGTTGTGCTCTCAAAATAAAAACAAAAATGTTGCGCACTCCGTGGGATTCAAACCTGCGCACCATGGGTGGTAATGAACACGCTTGACCACTGTGCCACAGAAGAATTTATGTTAAGGTTGTTCAATATTAAGTATTTATCCCTTAAACTCAAAATTTGATCTCTCTATACAGTGTACTTTTTCGGCGGATGTTCATCTGACCACCCTTGGATGGCTGTAGCTCCGCCTCTGATCTCAGAGTGTTACTCAAAGGACGTATTCTTATAATAACGTGCATTGAAGAACTTGTCATATAACTTTTGAATATACAAATTTTACTTTTTGAACATCCACTTTATATAGAACTTGTCATATAACTAGATGCATCACATTTTATTATAAATCTAAAACAGGTAACATCTAATGAGTTAGGTTACGTTTTAACTTTCTTATATTTTGTATGTTTAAAAAAGGATTTCAAAATACAAATTCACAAAGACAAAACCGAGAAATTATGAATAAGAATAGAAAAAATAATTATAAAAAGTTAACATGATGCGAATCAACAAAAACTAGCACTAACAAAAAGCTAATCAAACATTTACTCAGTTAATGTTAACCAGTGCATGTCGTGACCCTTTCTCTTGCTAACATGTGGGCAAGGGAGGGATAATGATATGCTATGTGTTATCAAGTCGTAGACGTAGAGATAACGACCGTAGGTGAAGTAGATGGACTCTTTGTTAAGATTTGTGCCTTTTGTAGAACAAGTTGTGCCAACACGCATATGGGAACTTATAAAAATTGCTATTTCTCCAATGCTTTCCACTTTTATCCATCTTTTTCTTACAAAATCAAACTGTAATACTCGAAAGTGGTATGGCAATCTATACTTTCTCCCGTTAGAAATCAAGTGAACATATAACAGCATATCGTTAGAAGAGGATTGGATGATGTAATCGTTATACCAAGGATGGTCTGAGTATTTTCTCGACAGATCTGGAGATTCCTTAGCCATTGGTGTAGCTGTTATTCTTCCTGAATCATTATCTAGATCCAAACAAATTAGAATATCTTGCATCCCGATTAATATATAAATTTTTTTCTTGAAAACTGTCCAGATCCCAAGACGTGAATCTCCGATGATCGATTGGACATCTTGTTTATGAAATTCTTCATTATAACCTGGTTTGCAGAAGTAAAAAGTAAGCAAATTCTCATCCTCATCCTCATCAGAGTTCTCATCCTCATTCTCATCCCCATCAGAGTTCTCATCCTCATGATCAGAGTTCTCATGCTCATGCTCATCCTCATTAGTGTCATTATCATCCAGAGTAGTCTCAATTTGGAAGATAACTTGACATTCGGGATCATGAGGTGGTGCAGACAAGAGGCAGCTCAATATGTCGCACTTAGCAGGAAGGGGCGGGAGCTGAATTTTTTCGTTTGAAATAAGATTCCAAAGGTAACAATCATTAGAATTAATGTTTTTTAACAGGAGCCACTCATCCGCATAAGCAGATAATGTTTTTTCTTTAAGTTCAGGTATACTTTTCATATAATATCGATTCTCCGATACACTGAAAAAAGTTTGCTTGTGCATAACATCACCATGACAAATAAGAAGCCAAGGGTGTTGGGCAGAATAAGGAGGTTGACCATACTTTTCCTTCTTGTTTTCTTCCAACTCCATCTTTCGGCTGAAAAACCAGAATCTGCAGAGATAAAAAAAAGGCAAAAAAAGGTCTGTTTGGTTTTGCAGCTTTTGAGTACGTGTGGTGTGTGGTTAAAAGAATCAACTTTAAATAATGACTAATGAGTCCAAATACTATCAGAAAAGGAAATTTGTTTTCCTTTAGTAAATATAATTGGGATTTCCATAAATAAAAACATTGCCCATAATAGTTCTTTTCAAAGGAAATTTGTTGTCCTTTTAGTAAACACTAGTATACGTATCCGTGCGTTGCGCAGTCAGTTGATAAATATTATCGTAAATAATTTATCGATAATTTCAAAATCTAACTTATTATAAAATGATATTATAAATTTTTACTATATAGAAGCATGATGACGACCGGACGACCAATGGCAAAATAGATATTAAACCGATCTTACAAGGGCAAAATTGTAACTATAAAAATATATTAACAATCCTAAAGACTTTTTGGTATATGTTCCTCCAGAAGAATCTTCATCTTTCCACTCTCACTCTCCGCCAGCAACTTTCCTAAAATAATCTGAAAGTATTACCGATAAAAATCGTCTCCTTTCTCTCCTAATATTGATTTCAATCCCTCTCCGGAGATTCCTTCATGGAGGATCATTTGAACAAGTTACTGATGAATGCTTCATTTTTCTGGATTTTATGAAGCAAAATTCTTGTAACTTTCTTAGTTAGATAGTAAGACTCTAGGTAGTTTCGAAAATATCGAATTCATCAAAAAATAAAAATAAAATTGAAACTCTATTTTTCTCCTATCTTGTTTTTTCTTTCAATTCTATGTTTGTTTATATTTATTGGGTAAGGCTTTTTGCACTTCAACTATAGTAAATAGTTAGTTTGATCAAGGTAGAAGAGTATGTAAATTGATTGAATACTACATGTCGGAGAAACTGCAACTGGGTAAGTATTTTTTTTTTCTCGGTTGTCTATTGCTTCTTCAGAAATTTTTTGTCCTTCTCCCTCTCCCCTTCGCTACATCAAAGCATTGTGTTTGTGATTTCTTTCCTATTCTGTTTTTTCTTAATTTCTTCTGCAATTTTTTGTCTGCTTCGATTATTTTACCTTATTTTTTTGATGGGTTACATTTGAAATTTTTTACCCTTTTATTGGTGTATTGACTATTGATAAATGTTGTATTTGCAGAGTTACCTTCACCCACCTTTTATTTATGATTGTGTTGTCTGTTAAAACTTAGATGAAAATTTTCATGTCCTCTATCTTGCTAGCTCTCGTGGATTCGGCTATGTCACCGTTGCTACAGTTGAGGATGCTAAGGTGATTTTGGTTTTATTTTGATTTTCATGTTATTGTTGTAATCATGTTTGTTTACTGATCTCAATTAAAATTTTCTTACACGATGTGGCCTTGTTTCTTGTGGTTTTGTTGTTAATTTAACTCATCATTTATGTATTTGTATGTTGTAGAATGCATTATTTAATGCGCACTTTCATGAAAATAGAATGCTAGAAGTGAAGATACACTGCTCTTACACTTTCTTGACAAATCTTTCATTGCAAAACAGAAACGCCATCAAAAGAACGATCAAGGGTAAATTCGTCATTTTGCTCAAAGACAAAAGAAAGAATCAGCTTTTTCTTGGCCTTTCTAGAACACTCGGTCGTTTCATTTCTTTGTTCCAACAATGGAGAATTTCTAGAAGACTCCTCCCAAGTGTCCATAATTTTCTTTCATCCAAACTTAAATTCAAAGGCCTACTCATTAGCTTCGTCTTCGTATCTGAACGTGCATTCTTAGGTCAGCTTTTGCCTCAATATTTGCCCTGATCTTCTTTTAGAAAAGATTAAATTTCCAATATCATAACTTAAAATTCATAGTTGTTGTGGTTATTGTTCTACCCAACACTCTCTTCTATGTTCTCTTTGATTTTTCATACGGTACTGCAAAATCAAATTAGTTTTTTTCTCTCAATATTTTCACAATCTTATTCTGGTAGCGTTCACAATTTCAATTTTATGGGTTAAATTCATGTCTGCTACTGTTATTGTTCTATCTCTTACTATTATTGTTCTGTCACATTAATTTTCTTCCTTTCGGTCTTCATTATTGCTTGTTCTCGAACAAGAGAAATTGAAGAATGCAATTAAAAATTAATAGCTAAAAACATTGTATTGTAATTGAGATTCAAAATTCGATAATAGGGGTAAAAAATGAATATTTGTGAAGAATGCGGTGTGAGCTTTCAAAGTCGGCTCATTTGAAGTAGCATATGCGAAGTCATTCACTCGAGATTATTGTTGTTGCATAAATTTTGTCAATCTCCATTTGTGATGTTATCACACACAAGTTACTTTGCCTAAAGTTTAGTTTTTGAGATTATTTTCGTCAAATTTATTTGTTGATTTTAATATAGATTATTATTAAAAAATAAGTTCAAAAGCGTTCCATGACAGAACATACTATGTCAATAGTGTTTTGAAAAGTCATACCAACTCCTTGAACATATCTACATTCTAGACTAGATACAACTGTGGAATCAAGAAAAATGATGTAATTGTTTGTTATATAGTTTTAAAAATAATCGTGATGTCCGTGTCAGCTTGCTTTTATGCACCGTAACTAATTTCACGGGTTGACCTTATTTGGTTTTTCTATGTGTAAAAATTTATAGATTTCATGGTTCATTTTTCTTGATATTAGGCTTAAATAAGTAGAACAAAATGGCTAAGAAATTCTTGAGTACAGAGCTAGCTGTCAAGCTTCATTGCTGAAGAACTTATAGCATGTAAACTAATTTCTAAAAGTTCCTCAGATATATTGGTCTTTTTTCAGGAATTTTTCAATAGGAAAGCACCATTTCTCAAGGCAATATGGTAATGCCATTATCTATGAGCAACAATATCTATAGATGCATACCAATTTTTTAAATGTTTTTCCCACAAAATGATTAGTTGAGCATCTTTCAAAGAACTGCAGCCAGCCATACATCAAATGCAGTTGGTAGAACCCAGAGCCGGCTCTATGCATACTTAAATAAGGCATTGGCCTTAGGCCCCCAATTTTAGGGGGCCTCAATTTTTTACCAAGAATAAATTATGTGTTAATTTTGTATAGAAAAAATATTAATTATTTATGATAAAAAGTATATATTTAAAATTATTCTCTTCAACCCCATTTAAATAGAAGAAATCTAGAAAATATTGTTTTATTTTCTTACACTCTCTCCACTAATACTCACATTATTTTATTCTTTTTAACTCCTTTTACACTCTCTTCTTTAAATTGTTGATAAGTTAGAGTAATAATCTATCAAAAGTATCAATTAATAGTTGAAAAGTGTTGAACAAAGTGAATTGTAAATTATTTTTCCATTTCTTCTTAGATTTTCAAGCATTACAACAACCATAGTAAAATGTGGGGTAACCAAATTATCAACTTCATCAAAGCTATGGTTCTAACTCTTATATTTATTTGAAATTTGTCAACTTATTACTTGTAGAACTATGTTAACAATTCATATAATGATTGTCCGAGTAAAATAATATTTTTCAACGTTGAATTGATAAAATCTTATTTAAAACTAATAATTGAAAAAGAAATCGAATAAATCATTTATATATAAAAAAAAATATTAAGTAATACTTTGTATTTCAAAATGTAAGAAAAATAAATTTTAAATAAATGCATGTGAAGCTTATTTAGATTTTTGGCCTCTAATTAAGATTTCGCTTTAGGCCTCCGATAGCGTTGAGCCGCCCCTGGACTAGAACCCGTTCGACGATGCATTTCAATGTAACTCGGTAAGAAATTCTTCTCATCCTTTCCGCAACTCTCTATGAGTTTAGTTGAACAAATTTTTTTTAAAGTTAAACAAGGAACTGATAGTATTCCTACTCTTTTCTGAACCACCACGAAGCCAAAAAAAATTAAAAGCTAAGCCTATATATGTCATGTGCAAGCATGTAGTGATAGAAACTAAAAGAGTTAATGTTGCTGAACTTCTTTTTTTTTTAAATTTTTTTTTTACCCTTAACTCTATGGGCCTGATTTTTATAATTAAAATGGTAAATGGAGAAGATTGTTGCTTGAAAGTTGTTACTGAATGAATTTACTACTACTGAATACCCCAGATGCCTAAATCAAGTATGCTGCATCTTACATTTCTATTTTTTTTTCTTTATACATACAAGATATAATTCTACTTTGGCTATGTCATGGTACAAGTTCTAACACTCATTGTGTCGTGAATGTGTATACTAAGAGAATCACTAATTATTCCACCTCCTTTCACCTTTGGAGTTGATGGAAGGTGTTGAGTTCAAACATCAAAAGGTACATATATATATATTTAACATTCGAAGTTTTAAATGTAAGAGAGTGACTTTGATGAGATTATATATTAGATGTCGACAAATGTATTTTAGGATGGATAAGATGGTTAATATATATTGTTAGTCATTTGACAAGCTATTCTCTATAGACGACTTACATTTTTGTTTTAGGATGAGAGTTGAGATGTACATTATTAGTTTCAAGAAAAAAAAATGAGAGTTGAGATGTGCTTACTCCTCCTCGAGATGTTACACTTATAAGACTAAAGAGGCAAATATGAAATTCCTTTTCTTTCTTTCTAAATCAATGTGCTACATGAATTTTTTTATTCCTCAGCATAAAGTGCTTAAGTACCATTATGCTTTTCTAAATGGTATGAGTTTCGTTATGCTATTGTTTTTGGCACGTACAGATCTTCCTTAATCAAGATTCATACATTGTTTGTTTACTTTTTCTTATCAAATGTTGTAAGAACTTTTAGTTTCTTATTTTACTTAAACTTTCATACAAACAACAAAGGGCTATTGGCCTTCCTCCATACCTAAGAGGCAATTTTGTAGTATATTTGTAAATATAAATTGCATTCCTTACAATTTTGTAATACAAATAATTTGTTTTAAATATCTCACGATAATTAAATTTTTCTCAAGTAAAATGTATCAAAAAATTTCATTAACCAATTTGTTGGGCCCGTGCATAGCACGGGCTGCACTGATCTAGTAAAGTATATATGAGAGAATGTTAGCATTTAACATTTTTAACAGGTTATAATAAAATATTTATGAAAATAAATCAATATATAAGCTTATCATTGTCTAAATTTGACAAACATAATTCTTAGCATTATTTGATTTATTTATTTTTCAAATTATTCAAAATCATAAATACAATCACATAATCCATATTATCCTCTTGTTAGAATAAGGAAATTATAAGAAAATTTAATAGCTAGTTAAAAAAATAAAATGTAAAGATCTACTATTATGATAATGCTAAACATAAAACTAAGAAGTTTTAATCCAAATTGTAGGCATACTATTCAAATTTTTAAATTTTGTTTTTCAATTTTTCATAAAATCATATATTTTAAAAAATCATATAATTATACTTTTGTAATTATATTTAAAAAAATCATATAATTATATCAAAATTTTAGGAAATATACTTTTGTAATTATTGTTATCATAGGGAGGGAATAACCAATTGCAATGTCATTTTTTCCCTCTAAATTCATTATTACCATTATAATAACATTTTTGCTTAATGTGAGTGCTAAGTAGATAACTTTGTTCAATAAAAGTATTCAATTCAAATATTTATTTTTCTGAGATTTAAAAATTGAAGCTTCTATCATACATACCCTATTAGATATGTCTATATATTTGAGTCTTATAAATAATTGATATGCAAAAAAAAAAAAACTTACAATAACACTTTCATCAATTATCCAAAATTGCAAGTGGTATTTCTCATGGATAATGCTAAAGAAGTTAATTTTTTTTTATGAAGGCTAATTATTCCGATTATTGTATTACTTAACAGAACTAACGACATTCCTTATAATATAAATACTACCTTACACAAAAGAAAAGTAATATTTGAAGCTTTAAATATATAATATAAAAATTCAATTATTCTTTGTTATGGTATTTTATTTTTAGAGAAAACGAAAAAGTAAGTGAGATTTAACTTGTATATAAAAAAGTTATTTGTCTGCGCAATAATCACGAAAAGTTATTTGTCTGCGCAATAATCACGCCAAAGTTGATGTGTGACTTGAACACCTACATACCAAGATCATAAAACATTATAATCCACCAATGCAAACGATGTATACAAAGACATGATTCACACCCGTCATAAATTTAATTAGTATCATTTGAATATCACATGCATAAAAAAAAACTACATTATATATATATATATATATATATATATATATACATATATAAATTGATATGAATTCAATCAATCGATAGTATTTTGTGCTAGGAGTCATCCTAGTAAATTTCTCAAGTCAATATTTAATACTCTCTCTATTGCCCAAAATAAATTAAAGTTACCCAAAATTACCATCGCTATTATATATAATGGAATTAAGATGTTTTGTTCAAATTCTTATTTCATACACATTGACCAAAAAATATACCCACATGTAGACTTGTAGTTGTTTAGTCTTCACCTTCATAGATTTTATTAAATTAACAAATGTCACATTTTTTCCATATTCCAGTATTACTCTTTATTCTCTTTTTTTATTTCTTTTTTACCTTCTGTTAAGATTGAAATTATGCACAAAAATTAAAAAAATAAATTAATAAAGTGAACAAACTATCTAAATTTCAAATATATGAAATATAAATTCATACCTCATCATTAATTCAAAGTTGCTATTCTACTCTAAGAATCCCTCAAACACGAAAATCTCACTTTTGGTATTCAAAGGCATAAGCAAAAAAAGATATAGAGTTTAACACTTAAATTCAAAAATTGAATTAAACGCATTAAAATATCTTAAGTTAAGAAAATATCTAAAGATCATCATATTTTTCAATGCAATAAATATTCACTTTACACTAAGAATTAGTTGTGCGTTAGTATGAGTAATCAAATTAATGAAAATATAATCAATTACCAAAACTTGGAGTGATATATTCAAATATTTATTGCATTAAAAAAATCATCAAAAAAGTAGCAAAAATTTGCCAAAGAAATAGATACCAAACGTTTAGGAGATATAATTAGTTATTAATTTATATATTACAATAAAGGATAGTCAAAATCTGCAAAAGAAATTTTTAGCACTACTTTATATTGATGCAAAATTGAAGAAAAAATTTCAGAAGTATTAGATTTGATTATGTTATTACTACAAATTATGAAATAACAATAATCACTAAAGACATTATAAATTCTTTATTTGTCTGTGTTAGAAAGATAATACATGTGATGCTTGGAAGAGATTGAACCCCAATATAATAGGGTTCCTACATCTAATATAACAAAAAAAAAATTATATATATATATGCGAATAAAAATCACAAACAAAGCAAAAAGAGATGCCAAATCATAATTCCTATGTCTCATCAACATGTTAAGCAGATCAACATGAGTTACTATTATAAAGTATATCAATATTTATCTTTTTGATTTAAAAATTAATAAATTACATAAAGTTATGTATGAACAATCAATAATCAAGTTGTTTCCTCACTATCAATATTGAGATTTGAGAATATGTAAAGTAAAGAGAAAAGAAGAGAAAGAAACGTTGGGAATAGATTTAAGGATAAAATTGAGAAGTTATAACAGCTTTAAATTTAAAAATTTAATTATTTTTTATACACTGTTCGTGAGGTTGTTTACTTTTTTTATTTTTCTTATTCTTTTTTTATTTGTCTTTTTAAAGGAGAAAACTAAAGTAAAATAAAAAATAGGATAGTAATTCTTGTTTTTAAAAATTTAAATAATTAATAGTATTTAAAAATTCGTGTTCTTTGCAGTAAAATGGATATATAATTGAAAGAAATAAGACAAAGCTATAATTTGCACAGTTATTTCTCAATTTTACAGTTTTAAAATTTATTTTGTTGAA